GAAGTCAAAAATACTAACGAAATTGAGCACAAAGCTTTTACCTACGGCAAAAGTGCCAGTCATATATACTGCCCTTCTAGTGTTAGGTTGAGAAGGAGCGCAGGAGCTCCTAGGAGCCCCGCCCGCTCCTTAGTGCTCCACCACGTGACCCAGAGTCCACCGAGGTGACTCAGCGAGCTCACGTGCACGTGGTCGTGACATATAATTTGCTGTGGCAAAGCTAAACAAGGTTAACCTCACCTTATTTTTTGATATTCTGGTCCGTGCAAGGAGGCTAACCAGGTCTATGGCCACTCTAAGTCTTGTCCACCTGAGGTTTATTCACGGGGGAATATGCCCACTAGCTCAAGATGTCGGCTTCGTTTCAAGAGTATACCATACCTTCCCTCGCGCTACTATCGATACCGTTACCTTCTTGCTCGAAGCACAGAGACCTCTTAAGTGTTTGCTACTCGTATTCCAACAGAAAGTCATGGTTGCGAGAAAGCTCTAACAAAAATCATTATTCTTCTTCGATGCATCGTGCTAATAATTTCTGATACAGAATCATTAATTCCCGACTCTTCAAGTTTATCGTCGGCGAAACGAGCGATGGCGTCCCGACAGAGTTCTCCGTTCACGAGGAAGCAATCGCCCAGCTCTCCAAACCACTTCACAGCTTAATGAAAGGTGGTTTATCGGAGGCCCAAGTCGGCTGTACAATATGGAAAGACGTAAGCAAGGAAACTTTCGAGCTGTTTGTCCAATTTGCGTATACCGGCGACTACTCCATACCAAAGACCGAGAAGCGCAACACGGCTGTGATGCTAGAGAGGATGGAGAGGAATAGCCTCACTGACCAGGCGTCGCGAAGTACTTCAAGCGGAATACGAACATGGAATAAGGCTGAGGAACTGAATGAAGTTCTGGACATCGAGGAAACGAAGGAGTACATCGAGGAGCCGGTGGTGGACGAAGAAGAAAAGGTAGAGGAGGCTCCCTTCGACGATGATAGGAGAATGTTTCGCAAAGGCAAAAAGGACAAAAAGATGAAGGGTAAAGGAGTGGCGAAGAGTAGCTTTGGCTGGAATCGGGAAGCAGAACCATCGGACCGAAAATCAAGCCCAGTCGTTCGAACTACAAGAGAAAAATACCCGGAGCCACCCTCACCCAGGCTCCTCGCAGCCGACTTCCCCTTTCTCTCATATCCTCTACTAGCGCCTCGCAACAACTACGATAGCACTTGCGAGCCAGTTGAACAGTTTGCACCAGACCAGATTTATTCCAACGTGCTTCTCGCCCACGCCTCGCTGTATATCTTGGGCGATTACCAACTCATCGACTCGCTGAAAGCACTGGCCTTGTACAAACTCCACAAGACGCTGTGCGTATTCCAGCTCGATGATGAGAATGTTGAGGATATTATCGACTTTGCAAGGTATGCGTATTCTGAGGGTAGAGGAGGAATTGGCGGGTTAAGGGATCTGGTCTGTCGGTATATGGCTACGAATGCAGTAGTACTATCACATAGTGATGGATTCATGGACCTCCTGGGAGAAGGAGGTGAGTTTGTCAAAGATTTTTTCAAGTATGAATTGCAAATGATCCATTGAAGTTTGTTATCCTTGGCCTCTAGAATGTTATCAACCTAGTGATCATCGTCAAGTCCTTCACGTCCAGTCGAGACGTAGACTGTTTTAAAA